GATGCCCACAATTTCTGTTGCATATATAATTCGAACAGATGGGAATACATGCTATGAAAGATAAAAGTCTGAGTATAATACATCAACCATCTACTCAATATACGAGTTCGTAATGGGTATGAAAGATGAGCGTCATTTTCTCCATTTTCTGATTCACTAAGGTAAGGACTTGGGTTCTTAATTTCTCCTTCATTAGACTGCAACTCTTCCTTTTGCTTTAATATATAGGAGGCAATGTTTTTGTTTCTACATCTCTTTTCTCTACTTTGCAATCTGAGTAATAGACACTTCAGCCACTTTCAAAAAGGAAAGATAAATATTTGTCGGACAAAAAAAAAATCCAAATAACCTTCAAATTAGCCCAACTTCTTACTTTATTTTATACGTCAAAATTAGTAGCCTTCCCTGCTGTATAGGTTCCACAATATCTGTCTTTATTGATCCTTGTAATTTGTCAAGCAACTATAGGTCTTGGGTTCTATGAAAATCTATTGCAGGTCCTTTTTTATCATCTTCTTATCATTTTCAGATCAGCACTATTGAGAACTGGGGCCTGGGAAAATACTACTCTTTCGATTTTTAAGGACTAATGCATCTAATTATTATTTCTCATTTAGTAATTTGATTTGAATAACAATTTCCTAATTGTTTAACCACACATAATGTACTGTTTACAGTTGAAATTACTTTTTAGAAGAATTTAAAATTGGAAGAGCTCTTTATCACAAACAAAAAGGTCTTACTCAGAAAGTGACGGTGTCATCTTTTGTTGAAAGTGAAATCCTTTGACTATGATAAAGATATCTTCTAGCTCTACAAGAAGAGACCTTTCAGTGTGGAAAATGGTTTTCGCAATTGCCCTTCTAGATAAAATGGGGATCAGATATAGAATACAGTCTCAACTTTGGTTCCGTGACCAAGCACTTTTGAAATAAGGGACCACGAACTGTAAAGTAGATCCTGTCGCATATACAGTTGGCAAACGGACTGATTGGGTCGGATATGAGAGGAACGAAAATGGATAATCCAAAATCAGATAATATATCTTACTTGAATCATATTTAATACAGATAAAAAATAGGTTAACCGACGGATATTATGGATATCCATATTATCATGACTTTTTGAATATGATTATTTTCTAGAGAATTCTTAATTTTTCAAACGTGAGAAACATCCAATTTGAGTTTTTACAAATGTAAAAGGTAAACCCATTAGTTATCCATTTTTTAAGTTGATAATATGATTTTTATTCATATTTGACCTTTTTTTTAAAAGTTCATTATCCAACAACCTATTTTTTAATGAATAATATGTACGAATTATTGTTTTTATCCATTTTGCTACCACTAAGTAGCAGGAAAGGCGCCATGCGAATCCAAATTTTAGACATTGTGAATTTTGAGTTGAGAGTGCAAATTCTAAAAGACACATCAAACTTTATCTACTCTATCCGTTTCAATTTATGTGAACTTGTTTGATTGGGCACGGAGTTTAAAAAAATGAATGACTTTTGGAATTTGTGGTCCTAAATAATTCAAAAAGGGACCCAAAGTATTTGTATGGTTATAAAAGTTTTTCATTAAGGGTAGAATTGTAAGTTTAAGCAAAATTATTTTCAAATTTAGAAAGAGATCATTCTTTTTGGAACGGACCAAAAAGAAAATAAGTTCAAATAAACTGGAACGAATGTAGTATATTTTTCTTTGTCGCGCACATATATGATTCGAGCTGGATGCTGTGAGTCTTGCCAAATCTGCATAACTCAGTGCTATATCTGACACTACTAACACGATCCACCTTCTACTTCTTTCATTATTCTGCAAAGGAATTTTGGTGTGCATGAAAAGTTGAGAATCAGCTTCGAAAAAGTCTTTACATTGGAAGGTTTGATCTTTTTAAAGATTCTTAAATCATTGACAGCAATTTCTGTATTTATTATATATATTTATAATCAAGCTAGCCGGCGGAGGAAAATAAAGGGTACGGATTGGTACATAGGGTGGGCATGGGTAATGATTTTATTTTAGAGCAAATTTCATTTGTAGTCGGTCGGTAGAAATAATTATCATCCGCTAGCCATGAATTGATCCATACAATTTATAGCCCCAAGTAAAATAATGGCTAGCCTAAATTTGCTCAAATGCGATAGATTTTGTAGCCATCGAGCCGTTCCAATCATCCACCAATAATATGCAAAATCAGTTTTCTTGTTATCAAATATACCGCTTATGGTATTTTATCTTTGAAAACAATAAATTTTCATATCATTTTAGGTACCTAACTTTTTCTGACTATCAAAAGATTATGTAAATTATTTTTAATTTTTGTTGTTGTTGGCTCTTAATTGGCTAAATGAAAGCAGTCGTCAACTTATAGTTATGATTTTTGTTTCATGGGTTTATTTATTTATTTAATACACAATAATATGTTCACTCTTTAAATCAAATACCCCTTTACGTACAAAGAATGTAAATGTACATTCAAATAAATACTATATAATAGATATAAATTGTCAATAACTATTATCATTGTAATTTTTAACACAACATTAAATTCTAAAAAATCTTTCATATATACATTTTACTACATCACTACATAGTAAAATGCACGATACAATTTATATATACAAAATTTATACATCGTAGAACAGTCTATACACTTTGGATACACAAAAGCGCCCGGGATACATTAATGATATATTATGGATACATTGAAAGATGCACGATATACTCTATATATAAATTTTATGCAATGTATATACTAAATAGACTGTCACTAATTCACTATACAAAAAATATACTAAAATAGACTGTCACTATACAATTTACATACAATAGACTGTTACTATACAAAATATATACAAAATAAACTGTCACTATACAAAAATATACTAAATAGATTGCCAATATATAATTTATATACACTAGACTGTCACTATACAAAATATATACAAAATAGACTGTCACTATACAAAATAGACTGTTACTATACAAAATATATACAAAATAGACTGTCACTATACAAAATAGACTGTCACTATACAAAAAATATACAAAATAGACATTTCGGACTATTAGATGTAATATGTTTGGGCCGAAGGGCCATTACGTGTCAGTGGGAAAAAATTAAGGGTGGGTATCGGTCGGTTCGGTTCGATTTTATAGAATTTCGGTTCGGTTAATTCGGTTTTCGGTTTGTGGTTTTAATAACCAAAACTGAACCATAATAACTTCGGTTCGGTTCGGTTCGGTTCGGTTCAGTTTTTCCATGTTCGGTTTGGTTTAATCGGTTCGGTTTTCGGTTCAAATTCATATAATTCCCTTTATGATAATCCTTCACTGAGCTAAGACAAAACAAAAGCAGCAGTGGCAGTGGCAGCACTATAGGAGAAGCATTGGGTGTTCATTTGCTCCAGAACCAACTCATTATCTCTTAATCTTTCATTAAGAGAACCATTCCAATAAGCTCTCGCGGTCATCAATTGTGTTGGAACACATAGCAAATATGTTTTTGCTTTGGTACATCTTGGATGATGAAATTCGAACGTTCAGCAATGCATACGAAAAATTGTTTGATGTTGTCTATTTCCTATACACGGTACACATATTGCTACAAAGAATATCCAACATGTACTATTAGCTAATAAACTATATTAGTGATAGTGGAAATAACAATATTATAATGTGATTTTGTTCCAAGGCTAATGTACAAATCCATTGACTATTTTAACACTTGGTTTCTTTATCGGTTCTTCGATTTAACCGAAAACCGAATCATAAAAACCGACCACCGAACCGAACACCGAAATTTTTAAAATAATAAACCGCAAACCGACCGAATAAACCGAAAAATCGAAACCGAATAAACCGAAATTTTCGATTCGATCGGTTTTTTCGGTTCGGTCGGTATTATGTTCACCCCTAAAAAAATATGAGCTATTAAAATTTTAAGGGGCTATAGAGGATAGTTTTCTCTTTATTTTAAGCTTCTAGACTTGCTACATGCAAGACTATTAGTCAAGTGCTTCGTTTCTTTAGGTATGGTCGTTAATTTGCCCATTAGACGTTGATTTTCCCATTACAAAATAGGAGTGGTTAATAAGAGAGGTCTGACACAGACATTTGGGGGTCGTTTGGTTGGAAAGAAGTTATCACAGAATTAATTATTCCGTAATTAGTTATTTCACCCTTCCATAGGAATAAAAAAATAATCCCGGGATAACTAATCCCGAGATTAATTATACTATATTTTTCTACCAACCAAACATGGGATAAACTCATTTTAATTTTGTCACCGAATTAATTATTCCTTATCCCTCGTACCAAACGAGCCATTAGCTTATATTAAATATTCATATCGTCGGTAGACAACTCACCTACTGTAGTTATTTCAATATTTCAATAATCTTGTTATTGTAGCTCCACCCAACTATTTAATAATTTGGTTATTTTACCAACCGGTTGGTTAATATGGTTGCCTTAAAAAATAAAATAAATAAATAAAACTATCTGGATACTGATTATAGGGAAACCAGAAATTGTCCTCACTACAATTATTAAAAAACAAACTATATGGAATCCGGCTATGGGAAAAACATATTGCCTTCATTACGGTTCTCCACGATATACAAGCCATAAACATAATGTTAAAAATAGACATTGGGGCCCTAACTCAACCAGTGGCAGAGCCACATGCAGCCAAATGGTGTCAACACTCCTTCGTTGGAAAATTACACTGTTTAGCTCGGTAATTTTTTTTAAAATATGTATATATACTATATAATGACACCCTTTGACTTCTTGGTGAGCTTGTTTTTTATATTTTGATTCCCCTTAATAAAATCCCTGGCTCCGCCGCTGAACTCAATTTCCATACTCTATTTCCATACATTGGGGAAGCTACAACAGTTTCACATGCAGGCAAGTGAAAGAATATCTTTATGATGCAATAACAAGAATAGGAAAAGCTTTTGTCAGCAATGAAGATAAAACAGCAAATGAAACTCAAAATAGAAGGGGGGAAATTCCAGATTAAATGATGAGCAAAACTTATAGATGAGACTCCAATTAATCTTGTTCTACAAGCCTATAATAGAAAGAAGATATAACTACACGGTAGTTTCACAATTGAAGCGGAAACAAACCTGATACACTTCTCTTCCCCAAAGGTCTCACGTCGTCAAAATGCTCCATCCTATTTAAGTAACAAAATTCAGAATGAGGGGATTACATGCTCTTTCTAAGGCATGTAGCAACAAAGACCAGATACACGTGCCCTTGCATTACTGGAGCATTACTGTATATTTTTTCTTTTTTCCATTTTTCTCTGCAGAATACAAGCATTACTGCAGATTGGATACATTCAGATCAGTCTCTTGCAGAAGAAAACAATCAGATCATGGCATTCCTTGTTTTCCTCTGAAGACTATAATTAAGAAAACAACTTTCTAAGGCATGTTTGCTATATGCACTGGTTGGACCGGAAATTCTCATTCGATAAGAGAGATCCTATCAACTTCTCCAACCTCTTTGCCCCTGCAGTAGGTCTGAGGACGGCGATATTACCTGTGACAGAGCAAGGATCTGTCCCATTCTTCCGACTTCCAATGCACCACCCACCTGGAACAAGCATGCCTTTACCTCTAAATAGGAGTTCAGAATCAATTTTGTCAAGCACCGGATCTTCCCTAGGGAACTTTCTTGCAAAAGGAGCATTACTGTCAACCATCCTTTGCATGTCATCAAGTGTAAGGTAATGTGGGTGTTGCTTTGGAGGGTTATCCCATGATATAAAGTGAAGATCACTGTTTACTGTAGTGTTGCGGAACTCCTGAGCATTACAGACGACAGTATGGAAATAGCCTTCCGGAGAAGAGATGAAATTTGCATAGTACATAAGAACAGTCCGGGGCAAGTTGTCCCATCCCCATATGCAGAAGTCAATGAAAGGGCGAGAAAGGACCATCCAGGCAGACCCTGTAAAGAGAGCAGGGGCATTGTTTTATTGTCTAGTATGCGGAAGTTCAAACAGCAACATAAATTTGCTGTTTTCTAAATACAAGTCAAAACAAATTCATTTAAGCTTTTCTTGACAAATCATTTAAGCTGGAAATGGAATAAATGAAACAACGGTTCCCATATTAAAATGCTGCTCCCCCCTCCCCCCCCCCGCCCCCCCCAAAAAAATTAATTTATTAACAGAAAGCTAGAAAAGGATACTTTTCCTCAGGATTCCCCAAAGTTTTCAGAAAGTCATTCCAAACTGAAATTTAAGCTGCTACAGGGTTTATATTGGCAATAAAGGATGAAACATAAAAGTTTTATTTAGAAATCTCATGATCCTTAACAAAAAATATAAAATGCATCAGGCCCCACAGTTGTCAAAGTTGGCATTTTTCAACAGCGTAAAAATGATCATAGAGAGTCTCTGTCAGCAAAAACATTTGTAGCAGTGAATAGAATTTGATTGAAACAGTCCATCAAAGCTGTAGGAAATTGAACTTGATTCCTATTAGCAAACAAAATGATAGAGGCAGAATGACGATCAATCTTTCCCTCATTTCATCCATATGAATGTAAGAGAAGGGTGGAAATACTGTTGATATGATGTGTCTGAAAACAAACCCACTACTCGTAAGAGTTTTGTCAAAGAGACCTATAAACTCAGGCAATTCTATAATGTAGTCAAGATATCCTGAATCTACACTGATTTTGGAAACTCTTACCATCTTCAGGCAAGTAATTCTCTCGACAACGTAGTTAATAAATCCTGAATCCATACTGATGTTGGAAACCCTTACTATCCACTCAATGAGACAAGTGAAGTTGCTGTTAAGGTCAAACTCCACTTCCTTCACACAGTATCATAATTCATTACTGTTCGTAACAAGATACTTAAACCCTCCAATGTGGCTGTTGTGGATTCCTTTTTATCAGTGTCAACTGTCACACAGAATTCAAATATCTCAAAGGCTGTTAATACAAGGGGCTACGTTGGCTCTTTCTGAGGGCATCAAATCAACCGCTTTCATTTGCTTTGAGAGTAACCCTTTTCCAGGCGAAAAAGGCAAGGAGCTTGCCAATCAATCACATGCAGGCTAAGTGATAGCCAATACTTCCATATACTAAACTTTCCAGCTATTACCATGTGTTCATAAGTTGTCAATCTTCACTAGTAACATGCATAATCCTACAAAACATATTTCCACTATGCTGGAGCAAAACTTTTGGGGCAAAGATGATCGCAGAAAAACGTTCTCCTCTTAATTCTAGTTTCTCTATCCTTGAAATTTACTTAATATATTTGAGACATCCTCTTAAACTACCCAAACTCCTCAGTCTGTACTGTACTTATGACTTATGAGCTCTCACTGTTCGTTTAACCATCACTGTTCGTTTAACCACACTACATTGTAATAAAGCATAGCATAATTTTCTTTTCAAATAAACTAGTAAAGCAGACTCAATTAGTTCCTCAGCATCTCGGGCAAAGAGAGAAATCAAAGTTAAAGTGCATTAGGCACGCCCTTACAAGAAACAATTTATTGACCACGAATTACAAAATCCCTTGCGCATCTTAACCATTCAATACAAAAGAGAATTCTGTTTCCCAGGTCTTCCCCAATATGTGATTTAACAATTGCAACTGCAAGTTATAATCCGAGTTCCAAGGTGTATGCCACCAGAATCAAGCCCTGGGCTAGTTATAAGATAGGCAATGGAGATACATGGGAGTAGACGAAGTATCTGCTTTTGTTCTTCACATTTTTAACCTTTTTATGTAACAAAGCAAAATACTGATCAATTCAAAACAACTAATGCCATTGTTTGCACTGATCTTTTCACTATACTAAACCCGTTCAATCTAGCATGTTCCTTGTAAAACTTGTACAAAAGATCCACGCTTGCAGAGATGGACTGAATAATGATTAACTCACCATCACACATAAAGTTTAACATGTGCTAAAAGAAAAAGTTCAAATCTTTGAGCTCAAGCATAAAATGATGCCAAATCTCACCAGTAAAAAGCTTAAAAGCTGTTGGCACACTTCTTCTCTGTGTAATCCAGAAAACATCTGCCTTTTTAGTCATGTACAATCCCGGATCAATAATAATTGGCTTTGCCCTTTGAAACCTTCAGAAATAAAAATCAAATTAAACCTAAATAACTAATCCTTAATTCTCAAACCCAAAATTAGAATCAACAACAACAACAACCAGTTAGGATAATAACTTACTCCTTCCAGCCAATTTTACTTGTGTGATCAATGAAGTTAAGATCCCGGGGCAAATACGAAAATGTATGAAGCAGATCTAATCAACCAAAAAAAATCAATTCAACGTCCTCATTAAACCCCATTTAATCAGAATTAAGGTACTAATTCACAAAAATAAAAAAGACAGGCTTTTTTTACCATCTTGAGTAACAAGTGGGTAATCAGAAGCACTGAGGTTAATGAACCAATCCCATTCACCACCTTCCTTGAGCAAAATGGCAGCAGCGTGAAGGGTATTCGCAACCATAGTGGGGCCCCGGTAAGTGACCAGATTAGCTTTAGTAATCATCCTTACATTCTTGAATTTATTAAAAATCGGGTGATTAGTCACATAATTACGCAGATCGAGTCGCTCTTCGGGTGATGACTCAACATCGAGATGCACAACGTACTGGTTATTCGGGTGGTACAGAGCTTGAAGGGTTCGCTTCGTCATGTTGCCGTCGCCGGCGGAGCCGGAGATGAGGTAAGCAAATCGCGGCGGCGGAGGAACGGCGGAGATGGGTAAAGGTTTAAGCTTTGATTCGACGAAGACGTTGGCGGCGGCTGAATAGGAAGAGTAGTAGCGATAAAGGGGTAATAAAGGAGTGCCGTCCGGTGAAGTTAGGGTTGTGAGGAATAAGAGGAAAAGGGAAACAATGGAGCCTATGGCTAGTGGAAAGATCCACTTCCGCTCCATTGTTGTTGGGTGTCTAAGGTGAAGATAATAGGTTTTCAGCTTCTTCATTTCAAATTTTAGGTGATCTGACTAAAATGAGGTGAAGCGATGGAGGAATATTGAAGCTGTTGTCATTGCTGTAAATGAAAGTCTAAAAATGGTGTAGATTTTAGAGACATCTGAACAATCTGAAGTGAGTTGTGTAATCTGAAGGGAAAATTTACAAGATTAAGTGAATCTCTGCAGGTGTAATCTTTTTGTGGGAGTGTTATAATATGGATTTTTGGATTTTTGCTAAAGAGGGTGGAACAGCGGTGGAGTGTAATTAGGTGGGAAGATGAAAAATGGAAGGTGTACTTAGCTGGTGCCAATATAGGAAGGCCGGCAAGTGCAGGGGAAGTATGTTTGTATTGTCTATTTTGAGATTTGAGCACTGTGGTTAGGGATGACTCTTCTTTTTATCATACTAATACCATATTGGAAACTCACTAGCCAGTTAATCCCGTAAAAATTAAAATCTCCAATTAAAAATAAAATAATTTTATCTATTTCATCACACCACTTGATTGTAGATCCCTTAAGTTGGAGGGGATAGCACGATATTTATTCATAATAAATTTAATTAATTATCTGAAAATCAAGATTGATAATCTGTTATACTAGATGAAACTACACTAATAAAAGAAAAAAATTAAACAAATGTGCTTTAAGTTAAATACATTTTGATTTTTTATTTTGGTTTGGTTTTGCGTACGTGTTTGAAGTGTCTACGGTTCACGGTCTCCAACCCGTGACAGAGGGGAATCATTTTATGACTTGTGACGTGTGAGCTTCTTTGAGTAATCTGGAAGGCTTGATTTATGATTTGGAATTTTTGTTTTGTAGTTGGAAATCAATCTATCTTGAACTCTTGTTTCGTTACCGCAAGAGAAATTTCTATAAATCAATATTGTTTACTGAATTATTAACTTTCTATAATTATTATATATATAATTATTTTTTATAATTATTATTTAATTATTATGATAGTGTATTTATATGTATACAATAGTAAAAAGTGCCTAAAATCAGGGCAGTCCAATTGTACGCGCATGTATTCGCGTCATGTATTCATGAATACAACAGTAAAAGGCATCTAAAATCATGGCAGTTCAGTTGTACGCACATATATTCACATGTATTTATACTGTTGTATTCATGAATACAGCAGTAAAAAACACCTAAAATCAAGGCAGTCCAATTGTATGCACATGTATTCGCGTCATGTATTCATGAATACAGCAGCAAAAAGCGCCTAAAATCATGGCAGTCCAGTTGTACGTGCATGTATTCGCGCCATGTATTCAAGAATACAGAAGCAAAAAGCGCCTAAAATCAGGGCAGTCCAGCTGTACGCGCATGTATTCACATGTATTCATGCTGATGTATTCATGAATACAGTTGTACGCGCATGTATTCACATATATTCGCATCATATATTCATGAATACAGTAACGACAATCCCTTAAAAATAGGTATGTCCATCTGTCTAAGAGAGAGGAAAAGTATAAATAACGTATTGCGTGCCTTATTTCATGAATCAATGGTAATATATACCATAAAATACTTATTTTGCTATAAAATATAAAAGGTACCTATAGAAAATAATATTTTAAAATAATTTTGGTTTATAATAAATATGATGTATATCTTTGTTATAGGAGTTAAAATTTTCTATTTGTCAAAGAGCTTGATTGGCCATCGCTAGCTAGTGGTGCGTAATAACGAATCTACTACTGTTGTTTTTTTAATTGTTGTCGTTACAACAATCGAATAAGAAAAATTGATTAATACTATAATTAGGAAAGAATATAATTGCCTGTCTAACTTTAAAATCATTATATTTTTGGTAAATAAATTTTTATTACTAATCGAAACTGATAGTTGGGCATGATGCCCAACATCAGGATCTACCTAAGCCAACCATATCATCTCATAGCTACATCGCATCTAACTACTATAACCACAAAAGTTAAAGGATAGAAATTAAATTCATCAAATTTCCTAGGTAATCTTGCCTACATTGTTCCTCTGCAATATACCTCTTGGATAATTTGTTTTATAATATGCTCCGAATTTGACCGTGTACATTGGAATACCCTTTGGTTTCTTTCTCTCCAAATGTAGTACACACTCGCTGCAAGTGTCATTCTGCATATCTCTGCCACAACTCTTCTTCCTCTTCAACCCACTTTAGTTTCTCTTGCCAATCCATTACCATTGTGCTTATTCCTTGCCAAGCTAAGACCTTTTTTCAAATATAGAAAAATATATCACATTGAAGAACAAGTGTGAAATACTTTCATTTCCAGTATTATAGGGTNAAATTAAAAAATAAAGCTTAGCAAACGGGCTTAAACAAGACGATTACTTATTGTTACGAAGAGATATGCTCCTTCACAAAGTTCCACATTCTGTAGTTATACCTCCAACGGAAAATTTCTCATTCAAACCACTTCACTTATTCACGTATTTTGTTCTTCTATTATCGCTTATTACTACTTTTATACTGTCAACGTTTGTTTTCATTTTGATTAGGAAGCCTCTAAATATGTTTGCAGGGACTGGAATCTAGTTTTACATTGAGACCCCATGTTATGGGCTCAAGATGAAAGGCTTGAAGAGTGCACCATCATGTGAGATTTAATTTCAATTTCATTTTTTGTTCACCAGCCCACCATAGAACCGGTTTCTCGGCATGCCTTCAGAGTAATATCTGTTGGTAAGACACTACCAAGAGATTCAGTAACATGAAAGGAAGTGAAAGAGATGAGTTCCATATCGTTGCATAAATTCATCCTAACATTGAGAAGATATGTACCAGCCAACAAGAGGTAAGTTTTTTATTTTGTCAAAATTATGTTATACATCTTGCTGTTTAATACGATATGTGGTTTATCATGTATTAAAAATTGTAATTTCGTAATATATGTAATTTGATGATGATAGTTGTTTACCCGAAAAATCGGATAACGTTAAATTTAGATATGGTTCTAAGGGTATGCAAATTTCTTTGATATAAAATGACAATACAGGTATTTTTGCTGTGAAAATAGAAAATAATGGAAGGGAAGACTGAAGAATATTAGAAAAACCAGCACAATGAAATCTTAATCTCCCCCCTTCCCCCCTATTGCAGTCTATCTCCCATTTTATAATAGAGGGTCACTACTTTATTTGTAACAACATAAAATAATACATATAGTGGAGAACCCATGATGGTTTGTCTCTCCCTTGATTCTCGCCAAGATTCTCTCCCTTGGTGCGGTTGTAACGGCTCTTGTCTTGCGAGCTTGGCACTGACTCGAGCTTAGTGCTAGATCGAATTCCCAGTCTTAGTTCGAGCTCGGTTCTACCTTGGAGCATCGATATTCGGGGCCTGTGTCGATCGTCGTTACCCCGTAGTCCGATCCAGACGCGGGTTCGATAATGATATCGAGTTTTGCGGTTGATTGGTCTTATGGCTCGAAGCTCGACGTCTCTACTTCGGAATTTGTCCGAGCTCGCCATGCGGATACTCTTCAATTGAAACGTTATTGTCTCAACCGGTCTTTATGACTGAGAATCGGTTTTGACCGTACACAGATAGTCCCCTCGTTCCTCGTAAAGGATGTGGCGAGGAACGATATGATTTCCCTGCGGCTCGATCAAATTTATGCCGACGTTTCTATCGAACCCGATCTCGACGTATGTAATGGCTGTCCCATCAGCTCGGTTTTTCCAAGGCATTTAATGTGTGTCAGACAGTGGTCGGCCATTGCTGATACCGAACCGTCATGCCTTAGTCTATAAATAATCTTTCTACACAACTTTTACCATTTTTGCGCCTTCTCTTCCTCCAAACTTTCCTATTTATCCTCTCTACTTTGCTGCTACGGGGCCGTTCATACCAGAATTTTGGTGATGTCTATTTCTTCCCTTGCACTCTTTCCTTTCAAACCAATGGCGAAAACTTCCAAAATTGTACCTCAGAAGGAAAAAACCTCTTCCTCACGGCTGTCTGATGATAAGGCGCCGGTGGAGCCGTCAGTTCATGACTATGTTCCTGGCCCGTGCATTTTGAAAACCGATTTTAAGGTTGAGAACCCTTCTTCCGTTTCGGGTCGATGTGAACACGTATCGATGTATACATGCTCTATAACGGAGGACCACCTCGAGGCCGTCCGAAAAGACTGCAACTGGGGCTCCGAGGTCGTGCTGCAAATTCCGTCTTCCGACGAGGATGTTACCACTTACGTGGAGGGGGTTTTAAGTGTTTATACTTATTCCTTCACACTGGGACCCGTCGACCCGGTGATTATTGATTTCTGCAAAAGGTATCAAGTCACCCTTGGCTAAATCCATCCCTCTTTATAGCGTATAGTGATCTTATTGCACTTCTTCTCTACCAAAGCCGGAGGGTTGGATTTTTCTCTGAACCACCTCATCCGACTGTATCGGCCTCAGATCTTTCGAGGACTAATCAGACTTCATCGTCGGGCATCGAAGGCATTGATGTCGAGCATCGATGAAAACAAGGATCGAGGTTGGATGGGTCGTTATATCCGAGTGAGGACCCGTGATATCATTTCGGAGGAGAAGATGTCGTTCCCTGAGGAATGGAATTTCGACCGTAAGTGATTTTTGTTCACTTTTCAGGTGCTTTTTTGATTTTTTTTGATGTCCTTCCCTGATGTTCTACTGCCCCTTGGATACCACAAGCGGTGCATGACCTCGAGGACTGGGTTCGGAAGTTGGCCTCGACCTCCTCTTACGCCGAGCGCGCTTGACGTGATTTGGCAAAAGGCAGATGGGAGGCCAAGAACTATGGTGAGGTTTGCTTCTTGTTTCCTTCGAAGTATTCTTTTCGTTCTATTCGTTACCGATTTCCTCTTGTGCAGGTGTAACCAGGGATGCCGTTTTGAGGCCTTCGAGCGGCGAGGAAAGAAACAAGTCCCTGGTCCCTAAATAGGGGGAAGATAAGAAGCGAAAAGCTTCCTCTCGGTTAGAGGACCCCAAGCCCAAAACTCGCAGGGTGAAGAGAAAAACAATTGCCCTTTCGATTGACTCGGTCCAACGAATGAGAGAAGAAGAAGAAGAAGAAGAAGAAAATAGCTCCTCGTCTTTGGTAGTTCGGTCTACGGAGGCCATCGAGGTTGCCAGAGCTCCCGGGCCGATGGCGGCTGTACCTGTCGGGGTTGTTCCCGAAGACCAGAATCTCGATCGGAGTACTCCGAGCGATTTTCTTGGGGCTATGACAATGGGTGATTCGCCTTCTCTTCCATCTTTTTCTGAGGAGGCGCTGAAGGAAGCTCGAGAATTGAAGACTCCTGATATCGGCGCAGGCTCTAGTGCAGAGGATCCTTTTGGGGATTGTTTTACTGGAGTCGACAACGGTTCCGATATCGGTGACGCTTCTC